GACTCCCCTAGGCCGAGGCCAAAGGCAGGAGTGGGCAGGAGGGTGGAGAGTGTTTTGCGATGAAACCAAAAACTCACGATAAAAACCGTGGTGTTGAGTTTTCAATCGCCGGAGGTGTAGCGGAGACGGAGGATAGACTTAAAGCTAGGGAGGCATCTCGATATTTATATTCTGCGTCGGGGTGGTTGCGGCCTACATCCAATCCTTTACTGACTATGTACCTGCCATACTAACGATTCAGTATCTTTGGGGTGTAAACACCCTTTGACCCTGAAATCTAACTTCTCCGCTCTCTTCCTGAGTGGAGTGATCAGCTCCGCCGAAGGGCTTATCAATGACTCTTCTATGTGCATAGCTTAGAGTGCATGACAAAAATAACAAACTCGACCAGTGAGTTGTTTAATAACCAATCGTCCACTAGTCTCCAGATGACCCTAGTTGACGTGAGCAGAGCATGGTGCGGCTACTTTTCGGAGTAGCAGCACCAAGACTTCCAGAGGTCATAGATCAACAACCAACCAACCAATCTGGTTCAACTAAGTCTTATCTTGTAGAGCGGAGCTCCTTCTATGTTATCCAACGAAAGCCCCCTCAGTCGCGTATCTTGTATCTCCACGGAGCGGGCTGCATAGATGCCTTATCGTTCCGTACGATAATATGATATCATCACGATAACTATGGCGGGACTCGGAGTCGAACACGTGACCTTATGCATTTAGTAATGTGCCGCACCGATTACGCTTCTATGTGTAACAATGTGCATATGGGAGATTTCTACTAAGAGCGCGCTGACATCTTAGGCCCTTCAGGGGTAGGGTAATAGTGCCGGGGTAACCCTTACGGAGAAGGGTATACTCGTGTTGGTCGCGGTCACCTGATAGGGAAGTTTTTAGTATAAGTCTGACTACTTAAAGATTATATAAGAGCTCTCCTATCCCGACAGAATCAAGATCCTCTCGAGAGACTTTAATTGGGATAAGCCTGAGCTTAACAATATTCAGTTTTACCGTTTACTTTTATTCTTTACACTTTTGCAAGAGCTGTGTTCGAGAGATTCGAAGTTTGGTGCCGTCGCATTCTTAGGAAGCATCAACTTGAGGGCACCCCCATTACAGGAGGTGCTTGCCCTGCTGGAGGTGGGCCTAGGAGTGGTGCCAGTCCCAACATTCTTTCAGGTTTTGGTATTTCTGGTATTTCTTCCTCGTCTGGAAAGGTGACTCATTCAGATATAACTAGGCTTACGGTTCTTGCCGAGTGTTGACTTGCTTCGCTTATTGCTTGTTCTAATTCTACCAGTGCAAAACCGTTGTCTGGGATGTCCAGATCTTCTTCTTGATCTGGGTTGAACGAAGTTGTGGTGTAATCGTTAAGTGTCGCGTTGTAGACACGTTCTAATATTAAGAATCCTACTGGGTGCTAGGGTGCGACAAGTAACGATTCTTAATTCGTAGCGAGGTAATAGTTCTTAGGCCGAAGCCTACGCGATACTGATAGTTAAGTCCTCTTGACTTCTATCTTATTGCGCTTATTTCTCTAATCTTCTTAAGTCCTCGTTTAGGACTTAATCATTTGACGTGGGAGGAGAAATAGTTTTCTCACTTGGGAATCGGAGGAAAGACGATTCTCGGGTTTTATAAGAATAATCTTAAAGAATGTAACAGTAGGTTTTATTGTAATAACTTAAAAGTAGGAAATAAACAAGAAGAACGTGTGAAGAACAAATACTCTGGGTCCTAGCAATCCCTTATATAGTAGTTCTTCACCTATCATGACTCATATCTTGCGTCACGCAAACCCTGTGACTCATAACTATGAGTCATACGAAATCCATCAGCCAACTCCTTGTTAAGAATCCTGCCGGGCACTAGGGTATGACAGGTAATAATTCTTAATGCGTATCGAGGTAATAGTACTTAGGCCGATGCCTACGCGATGTCGATAGTCAAGTCCTCTCGACTTCTATCTTATTACGCCTATTACTCTGATCTTCTTAAGTCCTTACTTAGGACTTAATCGTTCGAAGTGGGAGGAGAAATAGTTTTCTCGCTTGGGAGGAAAGACAATTCTCAGGTTTCTTAAGATGAATCTTAAAGAGCATAAAGGTAGGTTTTATTGTAATAACTTAAAGGTAGGAAATAAGTAAGAAGAACATGTGAAGAACTAATACTTGAGGTCCTAGTGATCCCTTATATAGTAGTTCTTCACCTGGCATGACTCATACCTCGCATCACGTGAACCCTGTGACTCATACCTAGGAGTCACGCGAAATCTATCTGCCGACTCCTATGAGTAGCTGCGTAACATACCTAAAACTAATCAAAACATAATAACCAAGTCAGGTATGCAACTCACGTCACCTGAGTGAAACCCATGACTCATGAATTGAGTCATGTGCTAAAATCATAACATCATGTGACTCACAACTGTGAGTCATGAACAGGTGAACATAATAATCTATAGCGCACTAGTATGCGTCATGTGAAATCTCCACATACCTATAGCTCGGAATTCTGGGCTATGTAAGATCTGCCTTGCTTAGTCACAGTTTGTGACACTCCAATGAGTCGTTGCGCAACATACCTAAAACCAGTCAAAACATAATAATCAAGTTAGGTGCGTAACTCACGTCACCTGAGTGTAACCTATGACTCATAAATTGAGTCATGTATGAAAATTATAACATCGTGTGACTCACAACTGTGAGTCACGAACTGATAAACATAATAACCTATGGCACACTAGTATATATCATGTGAAATCCCAACATACCTATAGCTTGGAATTCCGGGCTATGTAAAATCTGCCTTGCTTAGTCACTATTTGTGACACCTATATCTACTAGGTATCAAATTAAAATACTTTAACATGTTATAATTATAAGAGCCAGAATCAGCTCTATTCTAGCAGTATAGTTATAAAATATTTTTATTATTTTTTCTGTATTTTTTTTAAAAAATTCCTAATTTGTATAGTTATAAAATCTTACTTGCTCAACTCTTTTTTCAATAGTAGTCTCATTTTTTGTTTCTGGGTAATAAAATTTATACTATATACTTAAGACTATATAGGTATTCTATATTTCAAGTTGAGGCTCAATTGAACCTTAACAGCTGTTGGAATTCTTATTTTTTCAAGTGGTATAAGAGTTGTAAAAAGTATCCTATAACTAGGTAGGTCTTATAACTAGGTCAAATATGTTAGAGGCTAGTCTTCCTGAACCATACCCTGAATGCCAAGTACTGTGACAAAAAATCTAATAATATTATATAAGATGTCAATTAGGATTATGCATTTATTTCATTTTTTGGATATTTTTCAACTGTCGTTTTGGAAGTCGAGTATTGTGAAAGAAGTAGGCCACTGTTGTATCCCGATGATCGGTTAATTATGCTAACGGAGAATAGGTACAAGAACCATGAGTTTTAGAAGTATTGTTTACAAAATTGTTTATTGAATATATTTCTCATTGCTTGCCAGTGTAATAAATCTGTTATGAGCCATTGGGTACTTCCTAGGAGTGCCACCATTGAAGGACTTGGAACAATGGCACTGTTGTTACCCTTTTCATTCTTACCAGTCCTCTCTCTCTCCGTTTGTACAGTACTATTTATACCGCTTCCCCTCTCCACCCACCATACTCGAGTACTGATCCTTATCGATATCGGCACTTTGCGCTCTGCCATCACACAACGTATTCACTCGTCTTCATGCCTACGTTACCCGATCAACAGCCGTCTCCTACCTTCCAATGGCTTCGGCATCTCTCTCGTATGGATGATGCCCTGGCGCATCTATCGGCGTTCCCGGGTTCCCACCTCCCCTCGTCTCTCGAATATGGTCTAGACTTACCGCTCCATGGGGAGCACGTCGAATCGCTCCGCATTGCCGACGAATTTTTCGATGAGCTTTCTAAGGACGGCGCTCCATCTTCTCTCTCAACCGGCGATGCGACACATTTACTATCCTACGATCATTCCTGGCTTTTAGCAAAGTGCGACGCCATTTCCACGCACCGGCGCCCTGGGATAACGGCTGTTGACTTGGGAAAACGGCTTCTTGATTTGCTTGGCTCCGCTGATGATGGTCTTTAATCCTTGACTCCCCTTTCCTATTCAGAGGTCTAATGTTTCTCCCCCTCAACTCCACCCCTCACTAGACCAAGGATTACAATCTCGTCTAGTTGACCTTTTAGGCCTTGACGAACTCGAATTTGTCATGGATTTAATGGTCCACCGCACGGAGCTCGCCCCTCTCGCGCCTCCACGTCCTTCCCAAAGGCCCTTATCTGCTCCAGACTCTGCTCCTCGACTCCTAACCCGCGAGGAGCGCAACCAGGCACTCATCCGCTCAGAACTTGAGCATAAATCTTTCCCGTTGGGGCCCCAGCTTTCCCAGCCCATGGAAAGTTATCCCCATGTATATCGTGCTCACGATGCAGGCAACACCTTAAACTCTTGGGGCAAGAAGTATAGCTTGCCCATAGGATCCCAAACCACTGATCAAAAGGTATCCACCTAGCTCCCCCATTGCTTTAAACCCCAAACTTAGCATACCGCCCAGGAGTACGAAGAGATTACGATACCAGCGACCAAGGTTGGCACGGTTCGTGCCGGGGAGAGGCTCATTCAGATCGAGGATATGGACATCTTGTGTCGTAGCACATTCCGTAACTACAAGTCCTTAAACCGGATGCAGTCCCTTGTTTACCCCATTGCTTATCAAACAAATGAGAACATGTTGATATGTGCGCCTACAGGAGCCGTGGGTTATTATTTGCACCTTCTTATGTCGGACCCTAGCTAACACTTCTTGTTGCCCGCAGGGTAAAACCGACGCAGCTATGCTTACCATCTTGCATACCATTGGTATGGATTGCACTCCTTCGCCCGGAGTCACTCCGGGCGACACCCCTATATACTGCGATAAAGATCAATTCAAGATAGTTTATGTTGCTCCCATGAAGGCTCTCGCTGCTGAGATTGTGGAGAAACTAGGAAAGCGTCTTCGTTGGCTAGGCATCGAAGCTCGCGAATTGACAGGTGAACAGCTGAATCCGCTTCTCATCGTCACTTGTTCTAAAGTTTAGTCCAGGTGATATGCATTTGACAAAGGCAGAAATCGTTCGCACACAAATTATTGTCACTACACCAGAAAAATGGGATGTTGTCACTCGCAAGTCAACCGGGGATACCGAATTGGTTCAAAAAGTACGATTACTCATCATCGACGAGGTCCACATGCTCCATGATGAACGTGGAGCTGTGATTGAGAGTCTGGTTGCGAGGACCCAGCGCCAAGTTGAATCAACCCAATCAATGATCAGGATTGTTGGGCTATCAGCCACACTTCCAAACTATGTTGATGTTGCAATGTTCCTGAAAGTAAACCCATATCAGGGACTGTTTTATTTTGACGCCTCATTTCGCCCGGTCCCCCTAGAACAACACTTCCTAGGTGTAAAAGGGAAACCTGGAACAAAGCTTTCTAACGAGAACCTTGATAAGACCTCCTTTACAAAAGTAAAAGAAATGCTTCAACGGAATCACCAAGTCATGGTGTTTGTTCACTCTCGTAAAGAAACATTAAGGACAGCTAGGCTTTTCTACCAGATGGCGGTGGATGAGATGTGCGTTGAGCTCTTTGACAATTCCGGACATGATCAATATACCCAAGCAAGTAAGGAGATGACACGATCCAAAGCAAGAGAATTACGGGAGCTTTTCAAGAACGGTTTTGGAATCCATCATGCCGGGATGCTAAGATCAGACAGGAACCTCATGGAGAAGATGTTTGGGGATGGCTTGATTAAGGTTCTTTGCTGCACCGCGACCCTTGCGTGGGGCGTCAATCTCCCTGCAGCAGCCGTCGTAATAAAGGGTACCCAGGTCTATAATGCACAAAAAGGTTCGTTCATGGATCTTGGGATCCTCGATGTTCTTCAAATATTTGGAAGAGCTGGAAGGCCTCAATTCCAACAGTACGGAATTGGCTTCATTTGCACCACGCATGATAAATTGGCCCATTATCTCTCTGCCGTTACTCAGCAGCATCCTATCGAATCAAGGTTTGCGGAAATGATCGTAGACAACCTCAATGCAGAGGTCGCATTGGGCACTGTCACTTCTATTGAAGAAGGTATCCAATGGCTCGGCTACTCGTACATGTTTGTCCGGTGGAAGGAAAACCCCTTGGTATATGGAATTGAGAGGCAGGAGCTATTAGACGACCTTCAGCTCCACTCTCGGCGAAAGCAATTGATTGTTAAAGCAGCCCGGCGCCTCCAGCAGACCCAGATGATTATTTTTGACGAGAAGACAGAGAGTTTAACTCCAAAGCACATTGGCCGGATCGCAAGCGACTTCTACATCTTGAACAATAGTGTTGAGATATTCAACAACATGATGAAACCCCAGGCTACAGAAGCTGATATACTGACCACGCTCAGCCTTAGTGGGGAATTTGACAATATACAGTCAAGGGATACAGAAAGCGAAGAACTGGAAAACCTCCGCAATACTATGTGCCCCTGCCAGGTTGGCGGCAGCAACGACAGCCCGCACGCCAAAGTCAATATCCTGTTGCAGGTGCCCGGCCTACCCCCAGAACCTATAGTGATTGTTCTAACTCTTAACCCTTTCAGTCGTACATCTCCAAAGCAAGATTAGATGACTTCGCTTTAGTATCTGATTCTGCATATGTTGCTCAAAACTCGGCTAGGATCTGTCGTGCACTCTTTCACATTGCGCTCAACCGGCGCTGGGGCAATTTGTGTCAAGTTCTGCTTTCCATTTGCAAATCGATCGAGAGGAGGTGGGTCCAAACTTATGATGCGGATTCCACAACTAGACGAGTTCAACTGCTAATCTGTCATCTCCAGGATATGGTCATATCAACACCCGCTCGCACAGTTCAGACTTCCACTGCATATCGTTCAGAAACTGGAAGAACTCGAATCATCAAGTTCGATTGAGAGTCTTCGAGATATGGATTCGGCAGAGGCAAGCTAAAGATTCAGTAATATAGTATTTAAGGAGGTCATCTAACAAGTGCCCAGATTGGCAATCTTGTTCATAACCAAATGATGGGACCCCAAATATCTTCTCTCCTGGCTACCTTTCCTACTATTAGTGTCGACACCGAAATTGCTCCGTTGAATCGCGACGTTCTACGGATACATCTTTATCTTACGCCAGACTTTCGATGGGATGACAAGATACACGGAAGCTCAGAGAGCTATTGGATCTGGGTCGAAAACTCAGAAACATCTGAAATATATCACTACGAATTCTTTATTCTCAGCCGCAAGAAGTTCTATGATGACCACGAGCTTAATTTCACTATCCCCTTGTCGGACCCGTTGCCCCCTCAAATATATATCAGGGCGGTTTCGGACCGCTGGTTAGGTGCCGAAACCGTAACCCCAATCTCCTTCCAGCATCTCATAAGGCCTGACACCGAAGCAATATATACACCACTACTTAATCTTCAGCCATTACCTATTACTGCTTTGAAGGACGAACGTCTAGAAATGATATACGGCAAGAAATTTCAATATTTCAACCCAATGCAGACCCAATTATTCCATTGCCTCTACTGCACCCCTTCGAACATATTACTCGGCTCTCCCACCGGTAGTGGCAAGACTATTGCTTGTGAGCTAGCAATGTGGTGAGTTGCCCAAAGAGTGCCGAGCGGGATACATATCGGGACTAACACTATCAGGTGGGCATTCCGTGAAAACCCCGGCTCAAAAGTAGTTTACATAGCACCAATGAAAGCACTTGTCCGTGAGCGTGTTAAAGATTGGAACGCAAGGTTGACAGCCCCTATGAGATTGAAACTCGTGGAACTCACCGGGGACAACACGCCGGACACAAGAACCATCCAGGATGCCGATATTATCATAACAACTCCTGAAAAATGGGATGGTATATCTAGGAGCTGGAAAACAAGAAACTATGTCCGGCAGGTATCTCTTGTAATAATTGATGAAATACACCTTTTGGGTGGTGACCGAGGTGCGTAAATATACGAAGCTTATTTCTGTTGCCTTGTTGACTATTCTCAGGCCCAATCCTCGAGATTATCGTCTCCAGAATGAATTACATTGCCTCGCAGACGGATCGCCCAGTCCGTATAATGGGAATGTCGACTGCCTGTGCCAACGCTCGTGACCTCGCAAATTGGCTCGGGGTCAAAGATGGCCTCTATAACTTCAGACACTCTGTTGGTAGCCTTCCCAAAATTCCTTCCTCTACTAACCCACATCAGGTTCGTCCAGTGCCTCTGGAAATATATATAGACGGCTTTCCGGAACAGCGTGGCTTCTGCCCTTTAATGCAATCGATGAATAGGCCAGCGTTCCTTGCGATCAAGACCCACTCACCGAGAAAGCCAGTTATAATATTTGTAGCGTCACGCAGGCAGACCCGACTTACAGCTAAAGATATCATTGCATTCTGTGCCCTTGAGGACAACCCAAGGCGGTTTTTGCATATCACGGAGGAGGAGCTTCAGGGCCTTTTGCCACGGGTTAAGGATCAGAGTCTGAGAGAAGCGTTACAGTTTGGTGTTGGGTTGCACCACGCTGGGCTGATTGAGAGTGATAGGCAGCTCGTCGAAGAACTGTTCACCTATAACAGAATACAAGTTCTGGTTGCTACAAGTACACTTGCCTGGGGGGTAAGTGGATTCCCTTGGAAGATTGTTGAGAGATCTCCGATGCTGACATAGTTAGGTCAACCTCCCGGCCCATCTAGTTATCGTCAAAGGGACACAATTTTTTGATGCCAAAACCGAAGGCTATAAGGACATGGATTTGACTGATGTTCTTCAAATGCTAGGGAGAGCCGGACGTCCACAATTTGACACATGTGAGTATTGTTCCCATTAATCTGAGCGGGTGACTGAACTTTGTCATCCAGCTGGCATTGCCCGAATATTCACACAAGATTCCAAAAAGTCGTTCTACAAATACTTTCTCCACACGGGCTTTCCGGTGGAGTCATCACTACACAAGGTCGTTGATGATCACCTTGGGGCCGAAGTATCTGCAGGAACAATCTCGAAGAAACAAGACGCCCTAGATTACCTCACATGGACTTTTTTCTTCAGAAGATTGCATAAGAATCCAACGTACTACGGGCTCGAAATCCCCCTAGAGGAGCAGGATTCTGTGCTGGCCATGGAAGAAGCGAATCGTTACTTGGTAGATATGGTTGAAAACTCCGTTTCAGAGTTAAGTAAATCTGGATGCGTGATACCACGTGCAAACGGAGATCTCGAGTCGACCCCACTCGGGAAGATTGCAAGTTATTATTATCTTGTAGGTGTTGCAGAGCCCCTTTCAGGGAAATGATACTTATTCTCCTCCGCTGGTTTAGTCCCACAAAACTATTAGAAATCTCATTCGCAACGCAAAACGGCAAGCCACAACCGAGGATTGCCTAGGGTGGGTATGCACCGCCACCGAATACGATGGTTCGTTGCCTAATCCCTCTTCCTGTGATTTATTCTTGAATCGAGACATTAAACAAAACAAAATACAGAGCTTCCGGTTAGGCATAATGAGGTATTCATTCCTTTCTTTTCATAAGGCTAGTCGAAAACATACTAACATTTTCTAGGATTTGCTCAATGTGGAGCTCTCAAAAGCCCTTCCCTTCAAGGCAGAGAAACTCGGACTCCCTATGTGGGACCCCCACGTCAAGGCCTTTCTCTTGATTCAGGCTTTCATTTCACGCATCGATCTCCCGATATCGGACTACATTACTGACCAAAACTCTGTATTCCCCCTTCATCTCCCACTCCACTATCCATCCTGAACTAACACTCCAGCCAGGTTCTCGACCAATCCATTCGTATCCTCCAGGTCCCCTCCCCCTCCCCCTCAAACCCGGTTATCCCCACGACTAACCTTCGATAGGCTTCCATTGATGTCCTCGCCGAACTTGGCTACCTCTCAGCCACAAGCGCCATGATAACCCTAATGCAAAGCATAAAGCAAGCCCGCTGGCCGGACGACGGTGTCCTGTCAATTCTCCCAGGCATAGAACCTAGTACCGAAAAGTCACTTCGCGAAAAAGACACCGCCGCGCCTCTACTCCCCAAGGATTTGGCAAGCCTATCGCAACTACCTGACAAAGGCCTTCGCAAGCTCGCTGATCTAGCAGGGATCCCACAGTCGGGGGCGGGCCGTCGCAACGTACTTTATTTGACCCTCTCCACCATGCTTCCACGATATAATAGGTTACTAACTAATAGTAATAGTTCCTTCTCGCAGTCTCTGCAATCCCACAGATCTCCATTACCGTCGCTATTGCCACTGCCTCTACCCTTTCTGCTACCCTGACCCGACATAACACTTCCCAATCCCGAGACTTCCGCATCCATGCTCCGAAATTTCCAAAACCGCAGACGGAAGGGTGGTTTGTGTTACTGGGCGACTTACAAAAGGATGAATTGTATGGTCTGAAGAGAATTGGATGGCCGGCTCGCGGCGGAGCCGGAAGGGGAAAGCCAAGCGTCAAGTTTTCGCTTGGGCTGCCAGAGGGTGGCGCGCTAGAGGGGCTTGATGTAATATTGGATGTGATGTCTGATGGGTATTTAGGGCTTATGCAGAGGACGAGGGTTCACCTGCAGACTACGCAGGTTGTGCCTGGGACTTGGGTCGAGAAAGAGGTGGGTGGGGGGTGAGCTGGCTCGACTAAAGGGGTTGAGGATGGTACCGTAGACTGCGGGTTAGGCTCGTGGAGCCGGCCCAGGTGAAACATATAGAAAGCCTAATTATATGGTTCCGGGAAACTAAACTCTATACCAAATTTCAGGCCATGAAAATTCTGTTGATTTCATAATAATATTATCATACCAGGTTACAAAATGGTAACTGTTAAATTTCTACAGTATGATACCTATATTTATATTATAATCACACGTCCCGTACGAGTTGGTATCTAACATTATATTGTTCTGTCGTAATACCATCCATCTATCGAGTTCAAGTTCTCCATTACTTTTTCCATATACAGTAGGTAACACATCTCTCCCTCCTGCATGCATGATAATAACCGTTCTTATGTTTATAAATATGAAGTCTAAATTTTTAAATTGGAACTCGCCTTCCTAGCGAAAATGCCCAACCGGAAAGAGAAAAAAAGTTAACCAGCAAAATCACAAGAGAGCACGTTTGCAAATTATAAGCTTTCTGGTAAATTTACGACACTCGTAAGATATAATAAATTAATCAAGTGCCAACCAATCCTCACCACATCCCCCACCGTACCGCGCTGTGCGAGAGGATAAACCGCGGAAGTACTAGTACAAGTACAGCACTACAGTACTCGTATCTATCTATCTATCTCGAGGAAAAAAAAAGTTAAAACATATTAAAAGCGAGATCAATCGTCAATAACTCGTGTACAGTACATCTCGCTCCTTGCTAATTTACCAACTGGTATGATACTGTACCGGGGAGAGTTTAATACGGTAGTGATAATAAGAATTTACTCCGTAACGGGGAGAGGGAATGCGCGTACCGTATAATACCACACCGGGAACAGAGACGAGTACCGGTATCATACTCGACTACTTTAAGTTAAGTTAAGTAAGTCAGGTGAGGCCGTGAAACTTTAAAAAAAGTGTGATTCATTTATGATGTGAGAAGTGGGACTGTACGAGTACTAGTACAGTACGAGCACGTACCGGTATTTCCGGGAAAACATCGATCGGGTGAGGCTGGAGAATTAGAAAAGTGAAATTAGTGAGAAGTCAAAAAAAAAAAAAAAAAAGGTGTGCTGTATTGTACAAGTGCCAGGGGAGATGTTTTCGTACACCCAATGCCAAGTAAATCATTGAATGACTGTGTGAGAAGAAGAAGTAGCGAACGGTAGCACATTTGAAAAACAACAAAAAGAATAGGCAATTACAAGGACTTTTTTTTCTTCAATGACTATAATTCTAAGGAGGAGCTCCTAACATATGTAAAATAAAATAGCTTAGAATAGATAAAAAGGCGGTGAAGGAATTTAGTACGTAGAAGTATCGTGACCACAGCAATACCGCTAGTATCACTACTATGGCGACATTAGAAACACCAACATAGTTACTCAGAAGATAAAAAATACTTGTTTTTGGGATAAAATCAATAGGAGCTCCTTAGCAAAAAAGTTAATAAAAGGAAGAAGATTAGCAAAAATATAGGAAATAAATTCAAAGCAATGGCTCCGAGTACTCCCTCTTTAGCAGCTCCGGTGCGAGTACCTATTTCTATTACTTCTTCCCTTCGGTCTAAGATTCGGGGATTACGTCAGCATGCAACTTGGTCCTTTCGACATATTGCGAGTGAGGTTGGCATCGCTGTTAGCACTGTTTATTCCATTTGCAGCGCACCAGCTACTCCACAGAAGAAGAAGATAGGCAGACCTAAGCTTCTAACAACTCCTATCCGCAAAAGGCTTGTAGCTACTGCTACTGCTAGCCAACAAAACCGCCGTTTACCCTTAGCCCAAGTGGCTGAAATTGCTGACATAGCGGCTAGTGCTGAAACCCTTCGCGATGCCTTTGCTACCGAGGGTTACCATCGCCGAGTAGCTCGAGTCCGACCTTTTTTAAGTCCTGCAGCCAAGACCACACGCCTAGATTGGGCCCACCACTATGCTGACTGGACGCAGGCAGACTGGG